TTCCCGAAAGATAAACTAGCTGCTTGTTCTCGGGCCGCTCCGGGTTATCGTCGCTCTTCACCCGATAATGCGGCATAATTCGACCTGTTCGCGCGGCAACCGTCGAGAAAATATCGATTTTCAAAATTTCCGACATCGAACACACCGTATCCGTCCACGCGCACGAATCGACGAGCGCCTTTTCCTCGAAAGTCTTTCGACCAGTTTAGCCGTGTTCGGCGAGTATACTCGTCACGGAGAAGCGGCGGTATTTTGCGTCACGACAAGTATACTCGTCGTACGTAAAAGTATAGTGACCGTTGGCTGTTTAAATTGTCATTTAAATTGTAATTCTCAATAGGTGTTTACATTGTTATTCAAATAAGATTAGAAAGGGATCGCGATTTTGGTGTTCGACATGCAAATTGCCATTATGTATCGCTCCTGGCTTTGCTGAATTTTTTTCAATTTATTTGATTTTTCCTGCATCTTTCGTTTATTATGTGTGTAGTTATTATTATATTTATTATGTATCGTTCCCAGCTTTGCTGAATTTTTTTCAATTTATTTGATTTTTCCTACATCTTTCGTTTATTATGTATATAGTTATTATTATATTTATTATGTATCGTTCCCTGCTTTGCTGAATTTTTCTAAATTTATTTGATTTTTCCTGCATCTTTCGTTTATTATAATATGTAGTTATTATTATATTTATTATGTATCGATCCTTGCTTTGCTGAATTTTTCTAAATTTATTTGATTTTTTCTGCATCTTTCGTTTATTATGTGTGTAGTTATTATTATATTTATTATGTATCGTTTCTTGCTTTGCTGAATTTTTCTAAATTTATTTGATTTTTTCTGCATCTTTCGTTTATTATGTGTGTAGTTATTATTATATTTATTATGTATCGTTTCTTGCTTTGCTGAATTTTTTTGAATTTATTTGATTTCTCCTGCATCTTTCGTTTATTATATACATAGTATACGCTAATAAAATTCTTAAATTTATAAAATAAAACCCTCTCCGATTCAATATTTCAACAGCAACGCTCGCTCTACGTTCGACGAGTATACTCGTCGTCGCTTGATTCTCGCGGCACGCGTAAGTGCGCGCTCTGAAAAGGAGGCGCCACGGCTAACTGGTTAACGAAACGAAACCATTTTCGCTGAGAAATGATCGAAAATCGCGGCGAGACGCGATCGTCGAAATCACGAAGAGCAAACGGAACGATCGCAAACGCTGTCGGTGTTTCGTTCGAATTTTTATTCGCCGATTTTAAAAGCAGGCAATGTCGCGGCTCTCCGGTTAGCCGTCGGCTTGCGACCGAGAGATTAATAATGCTGTCCTTAAGCCTGCATTATGCGACCGCGGTAATTACGTGATGTATAATAAATTGCGAACCAGAGGCGGTATCCTTGGGAAGTATTTCTGCGCGGGATTTATTTGTGACAGTATTTCTCGAACAGAATTTCTTCGTCGAGGTTTTACAGTTTTGCCGTCGCTCTCGGGAGCGTGTCGCTGTTGCGGTTTCACGACGCCGGGAACATGATATCTTAAACGTGATATTTAAGCAATTAACGTTTCCGAATGCGAAAGATTCAGAATTTAGAAACCATGAGAAAATTCTCGGATAAAGGATTCATTTTATAAAATTGAATATGACAATGTGCGATACCGAACAACGTATCGTTGCGACGAAACGACGACGATATTTTCGCTGCTTTAAAATTAGAGAGACGAAACGTGTCTGCTAAAACGTAAAAAAATATTTGCGAGGGGGGCTAAAAGATATTAGGGTTTGCACGAACGCTAGATTTCAATTTGTATACACAAAAGTACGCCTTCCGCTATCCCTCCAAATTCCCGCGAAACTTCTCTCGAACTATTCCCATTAAACGCGATTCTTTTATTGCCTTCCGGGAAGAAGAAACGTTATTGTTTACTTTCCACTGTTCCGAAGGAAATTCCCAAACGAGTTGCAGAGACCGCATCAGCATTTCAGAATCGACTTTTCCAATTTTACCCGTCGCAATTTTGATAAAGATTTAACCCGTTGTGCACTCGAAGTCAAATTAACGTAAAATTTTAAATAATTTTGCTGACCCACGGTACATTTCTATTTCGCATAACACGCATTTCACGGCGCATTTTATACACGTGAAATTGAATTTTGCGACTCGTGCAACACAGTTCACGCTTTTAACAGCCCTTCAGGATATAAATAAATTCGATTAATTAAATTATTTTTCAACGTGATTTGGCGCCTTGGAGTCGTCACTCGAGTGCAAAGGGTTAACCTATGAAAGCCTCCCTAATTTTGGAACCGTTTTCGGCTCGCAGTCCTCTTCTCAAAAAACTCTCACTTTTCGAGCCGTTTATTTATTATCGTGCATTTAATTTTTGAAACTTACAAAATTAGATGGAAAACAATGCAGGATTAAAGTCATTCGAAACTGAAAGTATCGTGTTCTTAGATCGTTCTCGTGCCCACTTTGGAAAACCAAGAGCTAATGTTTGGAGATCTGATCAATTCCGATCCAATTTATCGAAAGTTTGATCGGTTACAGATGATTCGAAATTTCTGATTGGCTTGAATCGACAAATGGGATAAATGCTCATTAAGAGCTGCGTCCTCGGGGAAGACGATCTCAAAAATTCGTCAAACGTTGGCTAAGTAGATACAGCAAACCATAGTCAGACTACGCATTCAACGGCTATGCTGTGCAACGCATTCGCTGCATATTTGCCGAGGGCATATTGAAAGTACGTATCAAACTCATTCTTGCGAAGTTTCATGGTATTCCATACCATCATTTATTTTACTATCTTTTGCTTGTATATTTCTCATAATACTTTGCTTTTTAATTGTATTGCGAATACCATAGAGATAACATCGTTATCTATAAAATATCTATAAAAAAAATTCTGGACCATTCAAGAGATAATTGAGAAACTTAAAACTTCGATTTTATACCCCATAAAGCGTTATCGACAATAATTTTTCATTTCATAACCGTTATTATTGAAATATCAACGTCATGTGGAACTATACTTTTCTCTTTGCTTAATTCTCTTTGCTAAAGCGTTATTGACAATAATCTTTAATTTCATAACCGTTATAATTGAAATATCAATGTCGTGTGGAACTATACCTTTCTCTTTGCTTAATTTTGACGTTTAATGGTCGCACAACTAATAGCGAGATTATTCCGCCGACGTTTTCCTCTTAATATCATAATTTTTATTATTCACCTAGAAAAGGTTAGTAGCGACGCATTTTTATCTCTTCGAGATTGAAACAGAATGCGCTCTGTACCCGTGTACACATTCCTACGTGCATAATGAACGCTTGATAACTCGTAAAAGAGCTGCAACCAGAGACGGGCGACATTGAATAATTCTGTCATTAAAATACGTGTAAAGTGCTGGATACTTCTGTCGAGTGCACGAATTAATTGGCGAATATTTTTACACAATTTGTATTTGATCGTGCTACGGAATGTTAAATACCCTTGTAATTTGTATTCTAGGATTAGTCGAGTGTCGAATATAGTAATATTACATATTCTTCGACCGATAAGAATGGAGATACTTGTATTTGCAGTAGCGTACCCGAATACAATATTAATTACTTTCTGAAATTCGGCTTGTATTCGGGTAAGAAATATTCGGTTAAGAAATATTCGCATTTTATAGGTCGATAAATGTACACACACGTATAGAAATAGAATTTTTATACTGTGATATCTTACGATTAATGCGATAATGAATTAGCACGACAACGAGCAAATTACGGAGCCACGTTCGTCGGTACATTGTCGTAAACAAACGCAATAACTCTGCTTTCTACTTTCAACTCTACTTTACGCAATTTGTAGAAATGCGTGTTACGTATCTATAATATGTTTACAACCGATACCAGTCGATATTATATATTCGATAATTTATATTCATAATATTATCGATAAACTATATTCAGTCGAAAATATAAGCGAATATGAGTATTCTTAGTATACTTGGGTACACGGAGTACAAAATACGAGCATAATCTATATCTATTGGTGAACGGAATACGAAATACCGGCATATTCAACGTTCTACGAAGCAACAGAGTACAAGTATTTTGCATTTGCACAACCATCGAATACATTCAAGGGCTACTTTAATTACTACTTGACGATGTATTCGTTATTTGAATACTTTTTGAACTGCTTTTTGCCCGTCTCTGGCTGCAATAACATAATACACGACGCTTTCGTCTTCTAAAACATGGCGTTACACTATGATCTCCCCAATAACCGTGGCTAATTTTTACAACAAACAGATTTCAGTTCACAGTCGAATTCAATCCTTGTTGCAACCGAACCGTTTAAAGGTAACTGGCTACAGTCGAACCTCCATTATCCGTGCTAAGCAGAGCAACGCGAACGTTCGAATAACGGAACGATTTCTTGGTAACAAGAAACTTACGTTAATACTGCCACAGTTTCATCTTAATCGATTCAGACTAGAAAATCGTTTTGTACGAGAACTAAACGTAAAAAGTAAAACGTGAAAAGTATTTACAACGCTGTTATAGAGAATATTGATATTGAAAGTTCTATCTTACTGATAGAGATTATACATATGCGACAGATTTACAGCTTTGCCGCCTGTAGACTGTCATTTTTTCGCCACGTTCTGCTCGTTACTCTTTCAACCTTGTTTAACAGAATACCTAAATAGGCGGGACAGACACATTTCCCCGAAACTATCCGGCGAATTGAGCAAAAAGAAATTGAACCAGGACTGATTGCCTTTGTAATTTTGTCATTGTCACCGATTTTCTACCGCAGACTTAGCCCGCGCCGACGAATCGGCTATACAACTTGGTCCTGAAAGGGGGTGGGGGTGAGAGAGAAATCGATCGCTCGATCGAGAGAGATAGAGACAGAGAGATAGAGAGCTAGAGAGCTAGAGAGACAGAGAGATATAGAGATATAGAGATATAGAGAGAGAGGGTTAGAGTACTCACGTTCCGTTATTGGCGAGCGCAGGCTGCGGCCAAGCACGTGGCACCGGCTCTTCCTTGAGTATCTGCCTCATGTCCTGAGGCGCGAAAACGAGCGGCGCCCGCGGGTGGTGATGAGGCGGCGGCGGTGGCGGAGCTACGCTCGCCCCGTACAGTTTTCGTCCCCAGTGGCCCTCGAGTTCGACGGGGCTTCCGCCGCCGGTGGCGGTCCCCGTGCCACCCCCAGCGCCGAGTCCGAGCCATGGCGACCCCCCAGCACCCACGATCGTGGAGCTGGGCAGGAGACCGCTCCACTCGTCGGACCGCGTCGTAAGGCCGTACGGGTTCTCCTGGGGCAACAGGCTTCCTGCTTCTCGGTAACACCCGCCGCGAGAATCCGGTTCGGCTCGATCCGCGAGCCTGTTGCGACCGACCGGGAGAGATCACCTCTCACCTCATCAACGTCCGTAACAGGTGCTACCCCCTCACAACATTCAACCCCGCTCGCACGCTCTCGCACGCTTCCAAACGCTGGCACGCTTGCTCGCAGCCGACCCCGGTTTTGCCACCTGTCCACACGCACCACGACCGCCGTTTCCTCCACTGACCACCACTCCCCGCAGTTCCCCGGAGGTTCCCCGTGGGTTCCCGTGGGTTCTCGTTGTTTTCACTGTGACCTCCGCGGTGCGCCGCGCCGCCGTTTGGAATGTCTCCCGATAAAAACAAACGCTTCACTGAACTGTCTCACACGGTTGTCACACGGTGTCTGGGCGAAGGCGTCAGCGACCGCTAACCGCCGCCGGAAATTCGGAGGCCGCGGCTCAGGTGTTCCAGAGTCCTTTCCTCGTGCAGTCTTCTCTTCGGCTAGCTCCTCGACCGAGTTCCCGGAGCGTGTCCACGCGACCAGTCCTCGGAGATTCTCGAACGATCCATCTGGGATGGAGTAATCGAGGTGGATACGCGTACAGAGAGCGCAACGGTAATCTGAGCAGCGGGCGACGGTGTGGCGTGCGGTGCGTATATCGTCGGCACGAAAGTGTCGGTAGGGTGTCTCGTGACCAGAAGAGAGGTCCTTCAAGGTCCCCAGCCGCGCGTTGCTTCCCGTTACGGCGCCGCTTGTCGAATGTGTCAGGGCCGGCACGAGTGGCGTGCCAGCCAGTCCCAACGGGGACGGGTCTCGAGGATCGCCGGGGGCGTGGCCACGCCGGACAACCCGCGAGGGACAGCCCTCCGAGGACGCCTTGCCCATCCCCGATTCTCCGCCAATCCGCGCCGGCTACGCCGGCCAATCCCGGACGGCCAGACCGGGCGACCCTCACGCCCACCGACCGGCCGAAAGACAGTGGCGCCGTGACGGTAACGCGACGAGGCTGTCATTCCGGCTCGAGCCGCGGACGTTCCAGGGTGACGTCGCGACGCCTCTCCGAGCCGGCCGACTTCGAGACGACGTCGCTTCGACGAATCGCTTTCGCGAACTCGGTATTTTTCACGCAAAATTCCTCGGATTTTCAGCGAATCTTGTCGAGCTGCGAAAAACGCTCGCGAAATTTGCGGCCCGATGGAGATAATCGAGGAAATTGGGCGATGACGACGTCTTGCGCGCGAACGTTTTCCGAACGTTGCTTGAAATTTTCATTCGATTCGGTCGATTTAGATTGTTTCGGAGATTCGTCGCTTCGCGGTATAGGCAATTTTAATAATAATAATGAAATCGTCTGCGAGAAATTATCTCTTCCGTAGCTGTTAATAACATTTTTCAAGGGGCGCGTTGCATTCGTTTGCTTCGACAAATTGTTTCATGGAATTATCAATTTTGTTGTATTATATCTAATAAACGCGCGGCGTTTCGTGTCGAAAGGTGCGAACGAAGCTCGAAGATTAAGATGATAACGCTGTGATAACGTGGCTCGCGAAATCGTTCGAGTTCTGATCAAGTTCTTGCAAAAATTATGGTACCGACCTAACGTCGTTGCGCAATGTTTTTTACATTTAAAATGGCACCACATTTACCCATCGATGCGTCGACTGCTTTAAATCGTTATCATTCGAAACATCGCTCATTAACCGTTTCTCTCTCTTTGAAATTGCTCGAAATTGTCGATACATCGATTGCACCAGAAACAGTATTAATAAAGTGCGCGTCATTCGATCGAATCCTAAATTGAGATTTCTTCGTCGCAGATATTTTTCTAATAATATTTATATATACATAAACATTTGAATCGATCTAGATCACGTTGACGCGACTTTAAATTCCAACTGTTTCTTATAGTAAATCGATTTTTCTACAGTAATCGCTTCGTTTTCGACAAATCATTTTTCCGATATCGTTTACGAAATCTTCGGTCGTATTAGAACGTAATGCGTTGCTTTCAGTAATTGTTCCTCGAAATCATCGATTTTTCCGTAACAATAGCGCTACGTACAGCGCCGACCAGCTCGAGTGCCTTCCACGGAATCCAGATGGCAACTGTGATAGCTTTGCTTATGAAATCGTTCGAATTCTCTCGAAATTCTTGTAGAATTATTATACGACACCGGCAATCCCACTCGATCGTTCAGGAACGTTCTCTTCGACGTTTGAATCATTATTTTTCCGATAAATAAACATATCGTTCGTTGCGAACAGACCGTGGATCTTCGTGCAAAATGAATACGTATCTTCGTAAATTGCAACGAACGCGAGTCAATTAAAAATTCCTCTCTTTAATAATTTCAGTGAACTGCGAACAATCTATAGATGTTCATAAATACTTTGTTGTATAATTCAATTGTTTCTTTTTAATAAGTGCATGAAATCCGCAGTCCTGTTACGAATACAGTATAATAACTGGACCGCGAGTCTTCGTGTAAAATAAAAATTGTCTTCGTTAACGTTGGGTTTTCAAAACCCGCCGAAATGATCGGTTACCAATTTTTCAATTTACGATCATTTGGATTGTAAAGAGACGTTCACGACTTATTCATTTGACACTTGTTAACACTACGCCGTCCGCAGATCTTAGATACGTTTCTTTTGTTTGACGCCGGCATAATAGCTTGGACATTTTAGATTTAAAAAAAAATGTCGAAGATGGCGGTAATATAAATCCCTAAAATTAAGATACGTCATCCAAGAATTTTCGTACTTAATTCTTAGTTAAATAAGCACAATGCTATAGTTAGTTTGCTGCCTTTTAACATCCAAGAAATATAGTTCAAATGTTATTTCAGTTTTTTAAAATGACACCAAAGTGATACCATCGGCATACAACAGACAGTTTTTGCATGGCACCAGCGTGGTGCTACCGGACGGCATAGTGTTAAGAATCGGAATGAATGTATTGTTGTTACGCATACAAAGCGACGCGAAACAGCTGCTTTTAGTGCTCCGTGAATCTAGTGTTAATTACAAGATGCAGAAACTACGCAGTATATTCAAATCGTTTGAACGTGTTTGCTGTTCCGTAGGTATTCGATCTACAGTAATGTCTCTCTAATCGACGCATATAGATTGTCCACAAAAATGGACAATTTGGGAAGAGGAGATACGATTAGTCGAGCCTTGCAGTTTGCTTTTATAGTTACGAATTGTGAACAATTATAAAAACGAGTCGCAAGGCTCGAATAATTGTGTCGCCTTTGATCTGAGCGTTGATTAGAGAGACATTACTGTATTCATTTTCGTGTTTGCTATTCCGTAGGTATTCGATCTAGAGTAATGTCTCTCTAATTGACGCTCAGATTGAGAAGATACGATTATTCGAGCCTTGCAGTTTGCTTTTATAGTTACGAATTGTCAACAATCACAAAAACGAGCCGCAAGGCTCGAATAATTGTATGGCCTTTGATCTGAGCGTCGATTAGAGAGACATCACTGTATTCATTTTCGTCATAAACGCACCAAAATCCGCGGTCCACTAACTAAAACGGTCGAGAACAGAGACCGATCCGCTAAGTCGGCCGAAGTTTTTCCGGGCGCAGTCTCGCTTTCGGTCGCGGCGTGGTGCACCACTTAACAAACTCCAATCGGGGATGGAATGCAAAAAGCGAGCATAATCGACGTGGCCGTAAAGAAAATCCCGGCAATGAACTGCTGGCCGAGTATTTGCAAGTTGGTATGCTGAAATATATCCGTATGGCGTAGTAGTCGCTACCGTTTTCGGAAGAGACGTCGACGTCTGGCAAGGAAGCTATCTTGACGTGCAGACGTTTAATGGCAGGTGCGTCACGTATCGTGAAGAAACACCTCACTTTGATGTGGAAGCTGCCTCGAACTCGCACCTAGCCTGCTCCAGTTTTTATCGGAGCGTAATCAAGTACGAGGAAATCCGTGGCCTCTCCCTCAGGAGACCGTCGAGAGAAGGCTCACTATAGAGCGACTGGTCTGCCCGATCGTCGTCTTGTCAGGTTTAGCGTTCTCGGTAATTTTCTACACCTGGTTATCACTTGTCTTCGAAGGAATCCGTGTTCAAAGAAAACCCTGTTTTCGTCGTTTTTCACGCTCTCATCGGCGATTTGCCGACCCCGCCGCCGCCGCCACCACCACCGCCGCCGCAGCGCCGCGATCATTAATTATATCCGGCGAACAACGGTGCACCGTGACTCCTACACGCTCTCGAAACTTTTGCGTGCCTCCGCTACCCTTCCGCTCCTATCTCTCGTTACGATCTACCGCTGTCGAGATCGTCTATCGCCTGTTTTACACGTGTTCCTGCGAGCCGATGGCCCGTGTTAAATACACTCCCGTCAAAAACTGTCCGGACCTCTGCGGCTATCGCCGTTAAAATCTTACAGATGCGGTTTCTTCCGACGACCGAGCGCGATGCTGAAAAAATCTTTCTGCAAATTTCTAGTTTTATATATTATCCGTTTAACCCATTGACTGCAATGCAAATTTAGCGCGTCTTGTTCTGGGTGCCACGGTTTTATTTTAAAGAAAACACGAAGTTTTACAGAATATAATAATATTAAGTTACCGATATAATATTGCAATGGCATTTACAGTATTTTTTTTTTCATTCATCCTTTCTAATAGTTCCTAACTCAAATAGCCATTTGTAGCCAATCTAAACTTGCAGCACCCACTACGAGATATCTCGTAGCTGGCAGTTTTGGTACAGACGCTTACTATGAGATAGTCTCGTAGTTGGCAGTCAATGGGTTAAGTAAATAATAATGCAGCTCGGAGAGAAATCAGTTTCGCTTT